AAGAAACTACTCCAGTCAGAGTGCTTTATTATAAATCCAAAGTTTTCCCAGTCAGCGTTTGCATAGTAACTATATTGGAAACGCGTATTTAATGTCTTTAATTTGTTGTATATGGCAAGAATCTGAAGGGTGAAAAGAACTATTTTATGATCGTTGTTGGGAAACTTTTCGCCAACCACCATTTATGTTGGTTTGATTTTACGACAGAATATCAAGTCAATAATTTTGTGATCTTGTGTAGGCATGTGTACATGTTGTTGCGAACCGTGTATGTCTAAGGACCTAAGTATGCTTTCAAACCACAATGGGCCAGAATGTGTCGTCCATTTGATGGTGGGAAGGTTGAAATTACCACATACAATTTTGTAAGTGAAGTCAAGCGAGACAGCCTGAGCTAATGACTCACTTATAATAGTGTCAGTAAAACTAGGAGTGTTAGGTGCTCGATATATGCATCCGATTAGTATTTTACATTCATGAGTGTGCACAGTAAGCCATATCGATTCGAGAAGTTTGCTGAGGACGTAGTCGCTATAGATTTCCGCTCTCAATTTTTTTGTTACATAAACAAGACAACCACCACTCTTCATGATGACTCGATCACAGCGGAAGAGTTCATAGGTGTCTATTTGTAGATATGTGTCCGTGATATCGGAACAATTTAGGGAAACGTTCAGCTGCATTCAGGTAATCCACAACTACCCTCCATTCACAGACAGCGTGAATGGAACATTGAAGTAGGTCCCCCAACTCTTGCTGAAGTTCAAAATGCTATAGTTAATCTGAAACGAGGAAGGGCAGCTGGTCCAGATGGACTGGCTCCAGAAGTCTTTAAGGATGGTGGTCCAATTTTAGCGGTTAGGTTTACTAATATTTCAGCTAAGATCTGGGAGTCAAATGTTGTTCCACCTGACTGGTCGCAATCACTTATCGTCCCAATATGTAAGAAAGGGTCAAAATCATCCTGTGACAACCACAGAGGGATTAGTTTAACTAATATAATATCTACAATACTAGCCTCAATAATAATCAGACGCCTAACTAAAACTCGTGAACTGCAAACACGAGAGAATCAAGCTGGCTTCAGACCTGGTCGTGGCTGCATCGACCACATATTCACCATTCGTCAGGTTCTAGAACACAGGCATACTTATCGGCGTCCGACAATGGTGGTCTTTCTTGACTTAAAAGCAGCATTTGACTCGGTAGACCGCGAGATTCTGTGGCAGTGTCTGTCATTGAAAGGCGTACATCAGAAGTACATAAACTTTGTAAAGGCTCTTTATTCGAACACTACTAACCGAGTCAGAGCTTATGGCGAACTGTCATCTAGTTTTACAACCTCAAGTGGTGTCCGTCAAGGATGTCCACTTTCTCCATTTTTGTTTAACTTCATCATAGATCTACTGATGGAAATAACTTTCTCGTCGACTGAATTTTCGGGTATTGATCTCCATCCAGGAGGTCCACTTATCGACTTAGAATATGCATATGACATAGTCCTGTTCGGTGAAGACGCTGATAAAATGCAGAGTCTTTTGGTAGCACTAAGCAACAATGCCAGAATGTTTGGAATGCGCTTCTCTCCCTCTAAATGCAAGTTGTTGCTTCAGGACTGGTCTGCGTTAACACCTGAACTAAGGATAGGGAGTGAATTAAATGAACGCGTTGATAACTTCACTTATCTTGGAAGTGTGATCAGCCCTGATGGATTGGTGTGTGACGAAATCTCTGCACGGATTCGAAAAGCTCGTTTGACTTTTACCAACTTACGTCACCTGTGGCGAAGGCGAGATATCCGTCTATCAATAAAAGGACGAGTATACAGCGCGGCAGTCCGTTCTGTTTTAATTTACGGCAACGAAACATGGCTATTAAGAGTAGAAGACACTCGTAAGCTACTAGTATTTGACCACAGATGCCTCAGAAATATTGCTGGCATCTGTTGGGATCACCGGGTAAGTAATAGTGAGGTTAGACGCAGGGTATTAGGAAATGATGGTGAATCAGTTGATGAGGTTATGAATCCTCATCGTCTGAGATGGTTGGGTCACGTGTTACGTATGCCTGAACACCGATTACCACGTCGTGCAATGCTATCCGGAATTGGAAATGATTGGAAGAAAGTTAGGGGCGGCCAAACCAAAACGTGGCATCAGTGCTTGAAGTCACTAACTTTTGGTCTGAGCCATGTTGGTAGATGCAGACTACTTGGTTGGGGTCCGCGTGACTATCGTAACCGATGGTTGGAGACTCTTGGTGACATGGCTCAGAATCGATCACAATGGCGTCGGTGTATACACTCCCTGTCTCCCCTTAAACTAAGAGATTAAAATCGCTTCATATCTTTTTTTCTGCAAACTAATTCTTTCTTCTTGTACTATATCTCTATATGCAATCTTTCTCTTATATATTACCACCTTTAAATTAACCACTCCTATAAATCCGGTGTTCATCTCGTTGTGCTGATGCGGTATGGCAACCTGGACCGATGCACATATGTGCCTGGTCCTACGTTGTAGCTGACTGACCACTCATCGACTTAAAATATGAAGATCGTATGGTCCTGTTTCGCGAAGACGCTGATAAAATGCAGTCTTTTATGACACTGAGCAACAATGTCAGAATGTTTGGGAAGTAGTCGAACGCGTCGACAACTTCACTTACTTTAGAATTCTGATCAGCACTAATGGATTAGTGTATGACGAAATCTCTGCACGGATTCGAAAAGCTCGTTTGCCTTTTGCCAGCTTACGTCACCTATGGCGAAGGGACGAACATACTGCGCAGCAATTCGTTTCGTTCTACTTTAGGGCTTAGAAACATGGCCATCAAGAGTAGAAGATACTCATAATTTACAAGTATTTGACCACAGATGCCTTAGAAATATTGCTTGCATCTGCTAGGATCATCAGGTAAGTGATAGAGGTTAGACTCAGGGTATTAAGTAATGGTCGTAAATCAGTTGATGAGGTTGTGAATCTTCATCAACTGAGATGGTTGGGCCACGTGTTACGAATGCCTGAACACCGATTACCACGACGCGTAATGCTGACTAGTGTTGGGGATGGTTGGAAGGAGGTTAGAGGCTGCTAAACCGAAACGTGGCATCAGTCCTTGAAGTCACTAACTTCTAGTCTGAGCCATGTTGTTAGATGCAGACTACTTGGTTGGGGTCTGCGTGACTTTCGTAACCAATGGTTGGAGACTCTTATTGGCATGGCTCAGAATCGATCACAATAGCTTCGATGTATACACTCTTTGTCTTCCCTTAAACTGTGATATTAAAATTGCTTTAACTTTTCTTTCTGCAAACTAATTCTTTCTCCCTGTATCATATCATTATATGCAATCTTCCTTTTATATATTATCACCATTGAATTAACTACTTCTGTGAATTCGGTGTTCATCTTGTTGTGCTAATGAGGTATGGCAACTTGGACCGATGCATATATGTGCCTGGTCCTACGTTGTAGCTTACTGACTGACTGTGATATCGGAGAACAGCCAACTTTCCGTTATGAAAACAAGTGAGGAGTTGTTTAAAATTAATAGGGTGCGTAGTTGAGTCACCTTACTTTGTACAGATCGGGCGGTGATTAACATAAGTGTTAGGAACGGTGACTGTTTGTCTAGTAGAAGGGTGTGATTTAAACCCAGTAGATTGTCTGTTTTGCCATGGGATAAGGAAGAATTGGGAGCGTTCACTCCATATTGATGAGCGTTTAGTTTAGTACCAATAGGGTTAATGTGAGAACGTTAGTCGGGTGTTGTTTTGGTGAAATAAGTATGTCTAAGAGTGAAAAGTAGAGTTGAATGGTTAAGTAGTGTGTTCGTTGAGTGATCAGGAGGTTCAGTCAAGGAGTTCTTAAGTCTAGAGACAGTTATCAAAGTTGAAAAGGATGTGCTACTCCCCACTGAATCGGAGTACATAGATGGTCTCAGAATAGTTGGATTGTCGCCCTCAACATTTGGAGACCCCATAACAGTAATGTTGAGAGGGAGAGAGATAAGAAAGGATGAGATAGCGTATATGTGGAACTAGAGTGAACTAAACCGTTGTGTTGAGTGTTTTGACTTAGATAGTACCTAAAATCAGTAGGTGGGTTCCCAAGTAGGCCAACGTTATGGCTTCCTTGCGTGAGGTATATATATACATATATCGATATATATATTGAATATCACTTTGATTAATTTTTTCGCGCAATCTCATCATACCATATATACTTGATGTGGCTGCAAACTACATTTTTTATCTGAAAGTGTATCAGACACGTAAAATAACTTAATCAAGGCTTAACACTAAACAAAATTAATAATATGCAAAAACAAATCTTAATACTATAAATCAAAATGGCACTATATGAATAATATGACGTCAGAAGAAATAGCAACTAAAACAAGGTGACGTATTGGTCAACAAACTGAAAGCAACAGTCACGTAAGTATTACATGAAAGTTTTTTCTGGGATAACCACCGCTGATAGAGTTCACTACATATACGTTCTTCTGCATGGTTGGAACCGACGGTACAAAAAGAGATATGAATCCAATAGCTTCACCGAGTAATTCTTGGACAGTTATGTTCCACCATCAATGGTGTGCTTCATAAAGTTTTTTGATAGATTTCTAATTAAGGTGACTTAACAGTGTAATGTTGCAGATAATAATAACACACTTATCAAATTTAATTCCCGAATAAATCATCTTTAGCAACTAGCAATAGCGTTTTGAGCTTCAATGCATCAGGAGTGAAAGAAATGTAAATTTTGGAGGGACGAGCCTTCCTTTCTGTGTCAAATTCGTCCACAAATTACAGACTTATAGTACCAAAATTAATTAACCTCCAACAATCCGTCACCAAATGACCGTAAAAACATAACTCTACCTAAAATAAAACAACTTTTTTATATCAAGACATGAGCGCAAAGAAATCAATTAATTTACAGTAGCTTATCAAGAACATATTGTTTATTGAATTATAGATTAATTGTATGATGTGCGAACAATAAGTTATGCGTTACTCTGATGGGTGTACTAGGGTTACAACTGGCAACGACGCTAGTGGCTGCAAGTGTTCTGTCGAAAGTCCTTTCTTTCTTCTCGTTTACACGTTTCTTAATTACGGGTCTCACGCGATACGCCGTACCAACAGATCAACAACTTCTAGAAGCTAGTGGGAACTGTAAAATAAAGATCAAAGGTATGTTTCTATAGCTTAAGATTTTCTTTCGTGTCGCTTGTCCTAAACCAGATACAGAAAATACACCACCACGATGTCGTTACAGTATTTAATATGTGTTTCTCGACCAAATGCCCCGGATACTTCAACCTGAGTTACTTTGGTCTCAGTTGTCATGTTTACTAAACGATATAAAATATAGACATAATAGGGTAAAAATTACGTCAACTTCTAACTCGTCATACAAGTACGGCCATTAGCAGACTTAGTTTAGTGCTTCACTGTTCTAGGTTGCGAATGATGATGAAATATCGTGTACGTATTCTATTCATTGTTTTCCGTTCAATTATCTTTCACAAACAACCTGTCAAAATCTCCTAGGTTCTTTTTGCCAGACTGATAAGCTCTCATCTAGTTACTGAAGCACAAGATTATTCTTTAAGATGGTCTATTTAGAATTGGAGTGTTAGTTACAACAAAATTAAACAAATTGCATAAAATCCGCTTTACAAACTCGTTACCCTTCTAGCTTACAATTTTTTCTGTATGTGAAATAACTTTCAAAGTGTTTTTGTGGGTCCTATTTTGCACTTGGTTGGTACGGATGTAGATCAGTTATACTTAACAGTTATAAAATCAGTGATCGCAGTTCCTAGAATATTGGCACAATGTTCGTGTATCTGGCTACCGAAACACGATACTAATGTCTTATGGTGTTTACATTAAAGTCTAACTTTCAGTGTTTCCGGAAAACGTGGGTCATTCCAAAGTCATCTCAGTCGTTTTTATTTCCCGATCTCGATAGATTGTTCACGTACTGTATCTAAAACTTCGTCCAGCACTAATAGTTGTCAATGAATGGGTTTATTATTTTATGATGTTTAGGCAAAGCGAATTGTTATCAGGTGCTTCCAAGCTTTCGTCTACATTATGCCTTCCGTATTTATGACTTTTAACCCCCAAAAAGATAGTGGATACTCATCCATGAATGTCGAGACCTCTCGAAAATTCAGTCTAAATTTGAATCATAACTTCTGTATCAAAAAATTAGGAGTCTAAGTTAGATCTAAAGGCCGCATAAAAATTAGTGTATTGGATAAACTATCTAAACGGTTGTTCGAAGATGAATAGAATTTGCCGGCAACCTAATTATAAAATGTCCCTAAAACCTGACACGTCAATCAGGAATTTGACCAAAACTCCACTAAATCTCAGCATCATTTTGACATGTGTCGTAATCAGTAAACTGCAAAGTTGTACGTACGTAGGAAGTTCTTCGTTGTTACTGAATGACTGATTTTTCACAATTCAATCTAGGCCCTTTTTAGTTTGTTTCCTAATAAATAGAAGTATTAGCCATTCGTGAAACCTAAAAAAGTACGGCTGATTAATCTTATCATTGACCCACTGTTAGCGGGACATAAACTGGATCAAAGCATGCTCAGTGCACGATTACTTTGGTGCACACTGATTGGTTAATTTTTATCCAATCAGCGTTAGTCAATACTCAGTGAACAATCTAGAAATCTTCTCATGTGAAAAACTATAAATATACTGTTTTCCCTATTGCACTCACTTGCTTCTTACTTCCATCTAACCTGGTTATTTGGAATATAATCTCTTTCCTGTCCAACCGTGTTCTGATTTGGGGACTTGTCGAGTGAATCGGTGTCCGAGAATACTAAGCAATAGGAATAGCTAGGTTATAACCGTAAGAGAGAAATATAACAACCCACCATATGAATATGTTTCTACCAAGTATAATTGCAAGTTAGGCACTTGTCGCATATTTAAATAATCTATAAAATTTATTATTAGTGACCATCCAATTCCATAAGGGATATTGCAAGAACATGTGTTAATGTTGTATTTGCTACATCATAAAAATTGTAATTGAGAGCACGTTCTACAACATATAGCCCATCTTGAAACACAACCACTTTTTTATTTCAGGAAAAAGAAAGAGAAATGACTTACTTTCTGGATCCCCCAATGGAACAACTTGTCACTCTGATACTTTCTATTTTCCCCGCTCTACAACCATTCATCTGAAGCAATCACATGTATCTACTTCTGATATCGCCATTTTACCATTATATTCTAGTCACCAATGGCTAGTCGACTTCACCGTTTGTGCTTCTTGTGTATATTTAATTAACGAAGTAGCCTATAATTGTATCATCCCATGGTATGAGGGTTTTGACCGAAATCAAACAAAACTATCACGTGCCAGTACAAAACAAGATTCTTCTTATTCCATATCTCTCAATGTACGTATCAATTTAAGTCTAGTTTGGATGACTTTAAGTCTTTGGTTCACCATTCGCACTCTCGTTTCCTTAACAGCAATATACTTTCAATCTAAAAATAATGCCACAAAAATCGAATCTCAATCTTCTAAATTCACTACAAATACAGCACTTACAAACAAACCTTCAGGTGAATGTATACTCATCCTTGCAGCTGGCTTTTTCTTCCTTGTTGCTGCAACTTTATTTCTTTCCCTTGATGGGACGTTGGTTGACTTTGGTCTTCAAGCTGCTTACGGGAATTTGACTTTTGGAGAATTCTCATCTTCTAAATCTCCAATTATCAGTTGGGGTGCATTTAATTTCATTCTAGCTGTTATAGCCTGTATAATTGGTTCACTGTTTGTTTATCCAGGAATAAAATTTGGGAAGATATACTTAGACACAGTTAAGTAAGTGTACATTCTGTAGTGGATAATAATCGATTTTTAATTAGATTTACTGTGCTTGTATTTTAATTCCTTTGTAGATTATCCAAGCAGCGTTTATTAAATCATTTATTCCCTTTAGACATCGGGCTCTAGAAAACTATCAGTACCCTAGTTACACAGTAGGAATTAATAGTGTCCTAGACTTTTCGTACCAGACTGTAAATCTTATTTATTTATTTGAACACATAAATATTGGTACAAAGGGGCATATATATATATATATATATATATATATATATATATATATATATATATATATATATATGCGCCACACAAAACAATGAGAATGGAAAGAGAAAAGGAAGGTAAGGTGCATATAAGAAAGAAAAAAAGAACAATAACGACCACAACTTAGTGTATCGTAGTGTAATAATAATAATAGGGGAAACGGAAAGGTACAACCAGAATAATTTTTTCAGATAAGGAGGACACAACCACTTTTTGTGAAGAAAGTAAAAGAAGGTTACAGCAGGATCGCCACTGGCTTCTATTCTGAGCCATATCCGATAACGTCTCTAGCCACTGTGTTGCACCATCTCTCGAACCCCAGCCAGTGAGTCGAGAAGGACCAACACAAGCCAGCCCTTTGCAACTTTCTTCCATACCACGACACTATGTCATACAGTGACCACCTATCCGCTTTTTTTCCAACCAGTCCGAGAGTCGGCAAATAATGCACGACGTGGAATTCTCTGGGACGACATTCGCAGAACATGTCCAAGCCACCGAAGTCGTTGTTTCAAGATGGTGACACCAATTGCATTATCGTCTCTGTGCCCGAACACACGATGCCGAACCTCTGCATTACTAACATGGTGTTGCCACTGGATGTCAGCAACCCTTCGGAGACAACGATGATCGAACACAAAGAGTCGTCTAACGTCCTCAACTCGGAGAGGCCAAGTTTCACAAGCATAGAGCTAAACTGCTCTCACCGACGCGTTGTAGATCCGACCTTTTACAGCCAGACTAACATCAGTCAGTCAGTAACAACGTAGAACTTCGTACGTACGTACATCAGTTCGAGTTGCCACACCACCTTAACACAGAGATGCAGTTGTCGATTCAAATCCCATTGTGGTAGAGGTAGCAAGAGTGTAAGCAGTGATCGGAAAGATTAGGGTTTGGAGATGTTATTTAAAGAGTATAATTCAGTGAAATAAATTTGGAAAGAGGAAAAAAGGGACATGAAGAATTCAGAAAATTAGAATTTGGGAGAACACAAAGAGTGGATGCACCTGCGCCATTGCAATCGATTTTGAGCCATGTCATTCACGGTCTCTAACCATCGGTTGCTATCATCTCGCGGTCCCCAACCAGGTAGTCTACACCTATCAACATGACTCAGACCACTTGTCAGTGACTTCATGACTCAAACCACTAGACTAACATCACGAAGGCGCCAAAGATGGCCCAGATTGACATAAGCCACTCTGGCTTTCACTATACCTGAATTGATCTCATCACTCACGCCACCACCAGAACTTATGCAGCTACCTAGATACACGAACTTCTCGACTACTTCTATCTGCTCACCACCCAGGGCGAGTACAGGATTAGAATCCTGCCTTTGATAAGTATGACGGTGTTCTAACATTTGGCGGAGGGCGAAGATGCCAGACTGTAAAATGTGTTTATGTTGAGAATATATAACATCTACATATTCTGGAACAAAGTTCTGTAATGAATCCATGATTTTGCTGATCTGATCCTTCGATAAACATTTTTTAACTCTAAGTGAATAATAATAAATATATTGTAGAGAACGAAGAAGTCAAGTATGGATAACTGATTTATTGTTTAGCACAAAATTATAGTTCTTTCGTAAAATGTGGAAACAATACATTAAATACTTCATTTGCAAATCTTCCATCAATTGTCCTTTACAACCTTCATGATTATCCCAATTCTCAGTTCCTTTATGTTTTCCTTTCAGTTTTCTTCGGTTCAATCTTCTCACCCTTCTTTTGACAGGTATTCCATGTCCGTTTGGTGTTACACACTACTCATGTCCGTCTATATAGGTAGTATACACCACAATGAGTGAAATTAAGTCTTATCGTCGTACTAATCGTTGAAATAAAGGTTATAGCATATAACAAAAACACTGTAAAGTTCTTGATTTTATCATATATCATTGTTGTCGATCTATCTAAATTGTCTGTTTTTATCTGTGTCAAAGCTATACTTTGTCATGCTTTCAACTATTTACTTGAACGCTAGAACAATGTATACTATGTTTATCATCCCGACTGAATTTATGCACACTTTCTGCTTATTTCACACAGTACGTCACGTGAATGTACTTACTTTATCAATCTTTTCTACCTTCTTGAAATACAACAATCTTTAAACAATGCCTGGAAACTGGTCGATCAGTAGGGTTGTAGAAATTAATTATTATAAAATGGCTTCTGAAAGCAACAATTGGAGTCAGACCAGCGATCAAAGAAGCCCCTAGAAGGTTACTCACGTCACATTAGGCCAATTACTCTTCAACTTTCGTACCTGAACATGAAATAAATACCAAATAAAGACTGTCCCTAGAAATCCCAGTGAAAATATTTGTTATAAATACTACAAGAATAAGAACCTTCTTTATCTTGAAAATTAAATATTCCAAGTGAGTAATTTCATAAAACCTAATAGAAAGCTGTATAATAAATAATAAACAGTAATGTAGTCAACAGCACTTTATGTCCTTTAATTCTTATATCATTTTTCTATATTTAGACAATGTCCAATGTCAGTAATCAAACGTATCATACTACATCTGAATTTCATTTGTCCAATAATTCCTATTTTACTTTGGTTTATTCCAATCACTGATCATATTTCTAATTCATTGATTACGCTGACGCATAGTAATTCATTGACTGGCAAACCTTTTCTCATCATAATTATCAACTTTATGTCTAATCTATTCATGAAACATTTGGATAGTATTCGACTAATTGTATCTTTGTCAGTTGTACTCTTTCGTCTTTCCACTGTTCGTTGGACATTACAAGTATGTGTCTAGTTTTTTTATGCTCATTGTTTAGTTCATATGTACTATTGTCAGTAAAATGGATTCAAAGGATAATGTACGAGTGGCTATCTATTTTTCTGAATAGCTTTTAGGAATTCTTGAGATGCTTCTATAAAACTTTCTTTGCTAGCGTTTTTACTTAGTAATGAAACTAGATATAAAATTAATAATTTGAATATTTTTTTCAAATTACTTTTGTATTGTTTCTATGCCACGAACACAGTACTCATATTCTTATTTGATAAGTAATCACGTCACATAAGTCACTTGGCTTACTTATATATATTATGGAATCCACTCGATAGATGCTTTAACAGGATATGAACATTACCACTACAATTCCCGCTAATATTGAAAAATGTTTCATCAACGAGAATCCCTGAATTCAATAGTGTACACCCAGTTATTCTTCGTCGCTTGTTGTTTTAGGTTTGTGATATTTGTTAAAGATCACCGTGACCTGAAAAGCAATAAATAAAACAGTCATTTGGTAAGTAAGTAATAAGAGGAAAACCAAATAAATAGAAACATTGATATCAGTGCTAGCAGAAATAGCACAATAAGTTAAGGAAAGGAAAGTAACAAAAATGACATAATTGGCACTGAAATAACGAATTAATCAATTTTGAGCTCTGTAAATGATTTTGACCCATACCCTCTAAAGCCTGTAACAATAAACTTCAAATCCCTTGTAAATTATATTCAAAACCCTTAACTCCTTTCTATACGCGTCATTTCAACAGTTGCGAATACAGGTTTACTGGAAATTAATATTTTACCATGTATAAATCACATGCATCGCATGCTTTTATGTATATGTGTATGATGTAAGCGTATAAAGAGTTTAGGAGTATACAAGTATGCAAATTGTAACTTGAAGGTCCCATTACACCTTATCCTATATTAATTAGAGGAATGACTTATTTTTTTAGTCAGTTGGTTACATGTTCACTTACTTCAGTTTGAGCACCTGAATAGTATCATCATCAAAACCAAATACATGAACTTATGAGTTCTCACTTTTAAGATATATCATATTATGTAGAAATAAATATTCTCTGTTTCATTTCTTCGATGCTTCTCTACCGAAAGTTGATCTGTGATGTAAACTAGTAATTAAACAACATCCAAAAACCCATGCAAATAATAGTAATAATGTTCAATCGAAATTTCCGAGCTTCAAATGAGAAGCTATGCCAGGCTTGAAACAAATATCACCGGTGTCAGTGGACAATAGCTCAACTTGATCAAAATGAAAATGTGGACCTTTGTGTACTAACTCAACAGTTTAAAAATTCAAGCGCTCACGACGAGTCATAAAGGTCCTCTTGGTTTCGATTCCTAAAAGGCCCCTGAGTGCGCACTTCTGGAAAGCTCCATAAATAGGACCAAATAGCTCTCCACTCTTTATTTTTCTAGTGATTTTCCGGCTGAAATTAGCTTGTAATGTAAACTATCTTCAAATCAACCTATCTCCATTAGTCGCCCATACCGTTACTTGTTACATTCTACAACCAACCAATACGCAGCAAGGACTTAGAAGACTGGTATCCTTTGCCTAACGGTTGGCCCAATGCTAAATGGTTTCAAACGAATAGGAAAAACGCAAGACCAATGTTCACCGACCCGAAATAATTATTATATTTCAGACATTCACCTATATATATATATATATATATATATATATATATATATATATATATATATATATATATATATATATATATAAAGGCCAGACCAACTGGGTAACAGCATTAACGCGGAACAACAACAATAATGATGGGAAAACGGAATACTATGTACTTGAATAATTGTTTTTAGTTAATAAGTGTGTCATGAACGAGATTTAGGTGGGGACAACCAATTTATTGCTTGGTACAAAATTACAGAATATTTTGGTAAAATATGACAACCATACATAGAATACTTAATTTGCAAATTTCCATCATTTTTTCTTCACATTCTGTATGGTTCCTCCAATTCATAATTCCTTTCTATACTCTTCGACTCGATCTTCTTAGCCTTCTGTCCGGTTTTCCTCTTCCGACTGGTGTTACATACTATTTATGTCTGTCGACATAAGTAGCATACACCACAAGTGGAAGATGCTGTAGCAAAAAATTACGGTTCAAATGAAAGCTTAGAACTATGGTAATAAGAAAGTAATTAATAAAAATACAATCAATATATGTAAATAAAGTCGTAGAAAAATAGCTTCGAAAGTTTTTACCTCATAGTTAAACAGTCTCTTACAACATTACTGATTCTAGGTGTTCTGCACTTTTTTCTCCACCATAAATAGTGTTCTTAGAATAACTAAAATTTTCAATCTATCGAATTCGTTACCATTTGGTTTCAATACAACTTAATCAACTTTTTTTTCTTGTTATTGTTAAATAATTGAGTAATTCAAATGTACTAATAACAATACTTATTTCAAATTCAATTTTATTTGTTTTTTTTAAAAAAACAATAGGCTTATTTAAATTCTGCCCAAGATAAACTGGATAAATTTACCCATGAAGCAGGACAAACTTCGAATAAAGAAGTACAACGATTAGTTGCAAGTATATTTTATTGTTTGAACCTAGTCGCTTTACAGTATATTTCACCTTGTTTTCTTCTCTTATGTCTTTTATGCTTATATAAAAATTTATCAGGTCTATCATGGTTACCTTATGATTATCATCAACAACAATATCTATATTCTTCTGATACATTAAATGTATTACCATCTTTTGTATCGAATATTCAAAATAATTTTACAAATTATTTTTTAATTGATTTCATGAATCAAAATAATTTCACTTCATGGTCAACTTTATTTATTCAAGCTAGATATATCTTTAGTCAAATTTTAGATCATTTCTTATTTCATGGAATGATTATTTCACGTGGTATATTTGGATTTTTAGTATGGTGGACGATTACTAGTTGGCAGTTGATGTGTTTTTTAGGTTTAGCTTATCATCGATTTGCAAATGAATAGGAATTACAGTGAAATTAGACTTATTCTCTGTCAAATTAATTGAAATATCTTTTATTTTTATTTTTTAATTTAGACCAATTAATCAACTTTACTTCTTATATTGTAATTTAATTTTAGTATTATTATTATTATTATTATTATTATTATTATTATTGTTACGTTTAATGATAGTGATGATAGTATTTGTACCTTTTTAGCATTTGTTTCCGATAAAACCAACAAACATACCCTCTCTCTCCATATATATATATATATATATATATATATATATATATATATATATATATATATATATATATATATATATATATAGTTCATTTTCACTAAATGTCCTCCTATTTTCACGTCTTGTTCTTCCTCATTTTTCTTCGTAGATTAAAATATGTAGAATATTATTATTGAATGAACATGTTTAATCGTTTGACTCTTATTTTATTATGCTTTTGATACTCCAATTATAAATTGATTCAAAGAATGTGAAATCAATCCAAATGAGTAATAAGGATGAACTTCGACTGAAAAAAACTAACTAATCTGTTCAATATTATCTGGTCATAGCAGTGTTGATATGTAGTTCCAATTATGCAGCATAAAACTTGGTGCATATATATATATTCAATCGGGCACATTATATTAGCACAGCATGATGATACTGTCAAGACAAACGTCAAAGTAGTAATAGTACTGTTATTATTAGTAGAAAACATTGGACACAAATAATATAATTCTAGAAGAAAGGATGACTTCGTGTCATAAAAAGTAAAAGTATTTTAAGGCGCTATTATGAGCTATATCACTCAACAGTGTCAGTCAGTAAGCTACAACGTAGGACCAGGCACATATATGCATCGGTCCAAGTTGCCATACCTCATTAGCACAACAAGATGAACACCGAATTCACAGAAGTAGTTAATTCAATGGTGATAATATATAAAAGGAAGATTGCATATAATGATATGATACAGGGAGAAAGAATTAGTTTGCAGAAAGAAAAGTTAAAGCAATTTTAATATCACAGTTTAAGGGAAGACAAAGAGTGTATACATCGAAGCTATTGTGATCGATTCTGAGCCATGCCAATAAGAGTCTCCAACCATTGGTTACGAAAGTCACGCAGACCCCAACCAAGTAGTCTGCATCTAACAACATGGCTCAGACTAGAAGTTAGTGACTTCAAGGACTGATGCCACGTTTTGGTTTAGCAGCCTCTAACCTCCTTCCAACCATCCCCAACACTAGTCAGCATTACGCGTCGTGGTAATCGGTGTTCAGGCATTCGTAACACGTGGCCCAACCATCTCAGTTGATGAAGATTCACAACCTCATCAACTGATTTACGACCATTACTTAATACCCTGAGTCTAACCTCTATCACTTACCTGATGATCCTAGCAGATGCAAGCAATATTTCTAAGGCATCTGTGGTCAAATACTTGTAAATTATGAGTATCTTCTACTCTTGATGGCCATGTTTCTAAGCCCTAAAGTAGAACGAAACGAATTGCTGCGCAGTATGTTCGTCCCTTCGCCATAGGTGACGTAAGCTGGCAAAAGGCAAACGAGCTTTTCGAATCCGTGCAGAGATTTCGTCATACACTAATCCATTAGTGCTGATCAGAATTCTAAAGTAAGTGAAGTTGTCGACGCGTTCGACTACTTCCCAAACATTCTGACATTGTTGCTCAGTGTCATAAAAGACTGCATTTTATCAGCGTCTTCGCGAAACAGGACCATACGATCTTCATATTTTAAGTCGATGAGTGGTCAGTCAGCTACAACGTAGGACCAGGCACATATGTGCATCGGTCCAGGTTGCCATACCGCATCAGCACAACGAGATGAACACCGGATTTATAGGAGTGGTTAATTTAAAGGTGGTAATATATAAGAGAAAGATTGCATATAGAGATATAGTACAAGAAGAAAGAATTAGTTTGCAGAAAAAAAGATATGAAGCGATTTTAATCTCTTAGTTTAAGGGGAGACAGGGAGTGTATACACCGACGCCATTGTGATCGATTCTGAGCCATGTCACCAAGAGTCTCCAACCATCGGTTACGATAGTCACGCGGACCCCAACCAAGTAGTCTGCATCTACCAACATGGCTCAGACCAAAAGTTAGTGACTTCAAGCACTGATGCCACGTTTTGGTTTGGCCGCCCCTAACTTTCTTCCAATCATTTCCAATTCCGGATAGCATTGCACGACGTGGTAATCGGTGTTCAGGCATACGTAACACGTGACCCAACCATCTCAGACGATGAGGATTCATAACCTCATCAACTGATTCACCATCATTTCCTAATACCCTGCGTCTAACCTCACTATTACTTACCCGGTGATCCCAACAGATGCCAGCAATATTTCTGAGGCATCTGTGGTCAAATACTAGTAGCTTACGAGTGTCTTCTACTCTTAATAGCCATGTTTCGTTGCCGTAAATTAAAACAGAACGGACTGCCGCGCTGTATACTCGTCCTTTTATTGATAGACGGATATCTCGCCTTCGCCACAGGTGACGTAAGTTGGTAAAAGTCAAACGAGCTTTTCGAATCCGTGCTGAGATTTCGTCCGATACCAACCCATTAGGGCTGATCAGACGTCCAAGATGAGTGAAGTTGTCAACGCGTTCGACTAATTCACTCCCTATCCTTAGTTCAGGTGTTAACGCAGACCAGTCCTGAAGCAACAACTTGCATTTAGAGGGAGAGAAGCGCATTCCAAACATTCTGGCATTGTTGCTTAGTGCTACCAAAAGACTCTGCATTTTATCAGCGTCTTCACCGAACAGGACTATGTCATATGCATATTCTAAGTCGATAAGTGGACCTCCTGGATGGAGATCAATACCCGAAAATTCAGTCGACGAGAAAGTTATTTCCATCAGTAGATCTATGATGAAGTTAAACAAAAATGGAGAAAGTGGACATCCTTGACGGACACCACTTGAGGTTGTAAAACTAGATGACAGTTCGCCATAAGCTCTGACTCGGTTAGTAGTGTTCGAATAAAGAGCCTTTACAAAGTTTATGTACTTCTGATGTACGCCTTTCAATGACAGACACTGCCACAGAATCTCGCGGTCTACCGAGTCAAATGCTGCTTTTAAGTCAAGAAAGACCACCATTGTCGGACGCCGATAAGTATGCCTGTGTTCTAGAACCTGACGAATGGTGAATATGTGGTCGATGCAGCCACGACCAGGTCTGAAGCCAGCTTGATTCTCTCGTGTTTGCAGTTCACGAGTTTTAGTTAGGCGTCTGATTATTATTGAGGCTAGTATTGTAGATATTATATTAGTTAAACTAATCCCTCTGTGGTTGTCACAGGATGATTTTGACCCTTTCTTACATATTGGGACGATAAGTGATTGCGACCAGTCAGGTGGAACAACATTTGACTCCCAGATCTTAGCTGAAATATTAGTAAACCTAACCGCTAAAATTGGACCACCATCCTTAAAGACTTCTGGAGCCAGTCCATCTAGACCAGCTGCCCTTCCTCGTTTCAGATTAACTATAGCATTTTGAACTTCAGCAAGAGTTGGGGGACCTACTTCAATGTTCCATTCACGCTGTTTGTGAATGGAGGGTAGTGGTAGAGCAGCTGAACTGTTCTCTGAAATGTTCCGCCCATCGTTCTAAACGCCTGGACTGGGAGCAGATGAGTGTATCGTCTTTTTCCGATATAATCTCACTTACACTTGACTTATTAATTCCAGTTTCTTTTATTAGTCTGTAAAGCTGTCTTGTGTTCCCTATAGTCGCCGCCTTTTCCATCTCTTTTGCTTTCGTTGCCCACCACTGCTCACAGTCGTTTCTTAGACTTTTTCTTAACCTAGATCTGATTTGTTGTCGCTCTTCATTGTGTTCAGAGCCTGATGGGATGAGTTTACGAGAATCCATCAGTGCAATAGACCTTGAGCAAATCCATTGGTTCTTTGTAACCCTGTGGTTCAAATCACTGATAGATGTCACTGCTGTTTCCATAGCTGTTTGTATATCTTTTTAAGCAGCATCTGGATCAGCCTCGTTTTCAGAACTAAATAATTGTGACTTCAGTTGTTCCTGGAACCTACTTTTGGTTTTCTCGCTACTCAATTAAGTTCTAATGGGTCTTCTTACTGAGGATATTTTGCGTCCAGTGAGGCGCAAGCAGATGCGTGTCCGTATTATAAAATAGTCAGAGTCCAAGCAGGTACTCCAGAATGAGCGACAATCTCCTACCGACCCTCTTCAACGATGACTGATGGCAATATGGTCTATTTGAGTCCATCGTTGGTTTGGTGTAGGGGGTCGCCATGTTAGACGATGTCTCTTCTTATGCTTAAAATTTGCGTTTGCTAAAAATAAGCGATTGTCTGAGCGCAGTTGCAGCAGACGGTCATCATTATCTGTTCGCTGTGCCGGAATGCTAAAATATTCACCTAACTGCCTTTCTATTTGGTTTAAGCTACCTATCTGAGCATTAAAGCCACCCCCTACGAGTACTATGTCTGAGCGTTTAGCTTTCTGAAGAAGTCGATGAGTGGACTTTCTGGTAGATCAATGCCCGAGAATTCAGTCGACGAGAGTGTTATTTCCAGCAATATGTCTATGATGAATTTGAAAAAAATGGATATAGTGGACAGTCTTGCCGGACAGCGAGGTTTCAGTAGACCTGGGACAGTGTTTTGAGCACTAGAATCGTTGGCTAGGGTGACACTTGAGGAGGAAGTTTAGAGTTGAAGGTCTGTGTAAGAGGAATAATAGGAATTTAAGAGGGAGGCTGATTATGAATACAGTGGTTTTGAGTGCTGTTAGAGGTAGGAGGGCGGTTATCACTTCCCGGTTGCCCACACCTTGGAAGGGTTCTTCTGGAGGTACCTGAAGAAGAAATTGGATTAGAGGTGGTCTTAGTGACCCGAGAGCGTGACCGCAGTGCCCAAGGGACAACTGCTTTAGGTCGGTCACACACGATCTTTTTATGGGTAATTTTCGTGTGAGCTCCGTACTTGTTGAAACCTTACCGCCGAGGACGGAAATCCATGGAATAAGACGAGGTGTGCATTCTTAGGGTCGACCGTTTCTAACCACACCCCTCTTTGTGGAAAGGCAGCATCGCTGTTATGCTGGTTGTCTGAAGGAAACATCTTACTGCC